TGCAAAGACTCACAATACAACCAAATACAGAAATGCACGGCAAAGACTCACAACACAACCAAATACAGAAACGTGCTGCAAATACAGAAACTAATTGCAAAGACTCACAATACAACCAAATACAGAAATGTGCTGCAAATACAGAAAATAATTGCAAAGACTCACAATACAACCAAATACAGAAACGCGCTGCAAATACAGAAACGCACTGCAAAGACTCACAACACAACCAAATACAGAAATGCGCTGCAAAGACTCACAACACAACCAAATACAGAAACCCGCTGCAAAGACTCACAACCAATTAGAGAAACGCACTGCAAAGACTCACAATACAACCAAATACAGAAACTCGCTGCAAAGACTCACAACACAACCAAATACAGAAACACGCTGCAAAGACTCACAACCAATTAGAGAAACGCACTGCAAAGACTCCCAACACAACCAAATACAGAAACGCACTGCAAAGACTCACAACACAACCAAATACAGAAACGCACTGCAAAGACTCACAACACAACCAAATACAGAAACGTGCTGCAAGGACTCACAACCAAATACAGAAATGCGCTGCAAATACAAAACAAACAAACAAAAACAGAAACGCACTGCAAATATGCACAGACCACATCGTAAATGTTTAAGGGAAGCGCGTTTCTTTGTTTGTGTTGTGAGAATTTGCAGCGCGTTTCTGTATTTTCAGCGTGTTTCTGAATTTGAATTTGCAGCCTGTGTGTTGTCAAATTGATGAAGATGTTTTCCTAATTTGCAGGTGGTTTTTCATTTGTAGCGCGTTGAGCTCTCTCGGCCACCGTATATATATATATATATATATGTGTGTGTGTGTGTGTGTGTGTGTGACCCTGGACCACAAAACCAGTCTTAAGTCGCTGGGGTACATTTGTGGCAATAGCCAAAAATACATTGTATGGGTCAAAATGATAGATTTTTCTTTTATGCCAAAAATCATTAGTATATTAAGTAAAGATCATGTTCCATGAAGATATTTTGTAAATTTCCTATCGTAAATATATCAAAATTTAATTTTAAAGGACAACTTTAAAGGCGATTTTCTCAATATTTATGTAAATTAATATAAATGTATATAATTTAACCTTTTTTTCTTTTATTTCAAGTAAAAAAAAAAAGATTTTAGTTTCATTTATGTGAGGCCTATCTATACATACACACTTGACACATTTATTTATTTATATGTTATTATGGTTGGTGTTGTTTATCAGCTTTTTAGGCTGATAATTTGTTGAATATTGTTTTGTTTGTTAGTTTGTTAGTCTGGTTTGGTATTGTTTACTTTAAAATGGTTTTGGTGGTTTAGTTTAGCATGTTTTTTGGCATTGTTAAATTTAAATATTCTTTTTCCTGGTGTGTTGGTGTTGTTTACATTATTGCTATGTTTGATGTTTGTGACATTGTTTAGCTTCGCATGTAATATGGTTTTGTGTGGCATTTAGTTTGCCATTTGTGATATAGTTTAGTGTTGCATTATTTTGTCAGATTGCGTAATGTGTAGTTTGACGCAGTAGACCAGACACCCCTGAGGGTTATTGCTGCTGACGCTCTGCACTCAAA